TTTATTTCTAATTATATCTAGATCCTGGGAGATTTTATGCTGTCTTTTTTTTTTTTTTTTTGAGACAAAGTTTCACTATGTCACCCTCAGTAGAGTGCCATGGCATCACAGCAACCTCCAACTCTTGGGCTTAAGCAACTCTCTTGTCTCAGCTTCCCAGGTAGGCACATATCCATGGGTGATCTTGGGAAAGTTACTTTTCCAGGCCTAATTTTTCATTCTGCACCACAAAAAGGTAAAATTTATATATTGTTATTCTCTGATATCAAACCTTACACTGCCTTCCAACTATATTTAGAAGCATATCCACATGCCTCATCCCAGCCTATGCAGTGAGTAGCTTCCACTAAGGCTCACAGCACCAAGTGGCAGTGACTCTATTCTGACCCAGGAATGATGGGCTGTCTCAGGGCAAGCTGCCATAGCAAAGACCACAGACTGGACAGCTTATAAAGAACAGAATTTTATTTCCCACATATCTTAAGGCTAGGAGTTTAGATCAGGATGCCAGCATGGTCAGACTCTGGTGACGACTGTCTTCTGAGTAGCAGACCATAGACTTCAGATTGTGTCTTCACATGGCAGAGAGAAGAGAGAGCTCTCTGGGTGGTTTTTTTTTTTTTTCCTGTTGTTTGTTTGTTTCTTTTTAATAAAGCTAGGAATCCCAATCATGGGGGTTCTACCCCCTGAACATAGTTATTTCCTACTCCTAATGCCTGAATATTGGGGTTAGGATTTCAACATATAAATGTGAGGGAAGGGAACATTCAGTCTATTGCAACTTCCAATATTTTATAACCCCAAAAAAGTGTTATTTACCTCCAACTCACTGTGTCCTATGTTCTCTTCCTCACTGTCTATCTGCCTTTCTGTGTGCATGTGTGTTTGTGTGTGTGTGTTTCTCTGTATTATATTCCTTAAACTGTTGGAGGAAACTCTTTAATATTATAAGCTGCCCTATGTGGGGGCCCACAGTGTAGAAAACTAAGGATGTGTCCAGGGCAACAGATGGGGAGACTGCTCTCAGTCCACACTGAAACCTATCCATACCCACATGAGTGGACTGGGAAGCTGATTCTTCCACAGTCTAGCTTCAGTTGAGATCATAGATCCAGCCTGAGGCAGGCAGCAGCACCGACCCCAGGGACCCGCCCAGGATAGACAGGGTCTGGCAAGCGGTGGTGGTGGGCGGCGACAGCAGCAGCAGCAGCAGCAGCAGCATCAATAGTTCATTCTCCTCCTCTGCTTCCTTCAGCTCCTCCTCCTCCAACAGGTCTCGGCCCAGCTCCGCTTCCTCCTCCTCCTTCTCGTCCTCCTCCAGTTCCAGCTTGTACACCTCTGGGTCTTCTGACCCGCCTGGCGAGGCTAGGAGCTCCCTTAGCAGGAGCGGGTCCCACTCGAGCTCCGGGTTGCCAGCTCCAGGTTGCCGGCGCTGCGGCTCCAAATCGCAGCAGCAGGCTGTCAATGGCAGCGTCAGCGTCCGCAGGTCGGGCGCGGCAGCAGGCTATCTCACAGCCGACAAGGTCTGGCCCTGCTCAGTCCGCAAATCGGGGAGGCGGCCGGGCTGGCAACCGGTGCCGAGGAGCAGCAGCGCCGCCCAGAGACTAGAGAGGGCGGGTGGAGTACCAGGGATGTACTTTCACAAAGGCTCCGTTAGCTTCAGGGCAGTAGATAGCTAGGTAGGTGAGTGGGGATTGAAACCGGACAGGCTGCTGGACGTGGCAGCCACTCCCCTTTCAGGGTTTCTTTTGTTTCATGTCCTTAACTAGCCCCTGGCGCGCCCGGCCTGAGGAACATTTATTAAATAAGGTTTCTTTTCTCTAATGTATATTTGTGTTTGCTTTATGGATGAGATGGCAATATGAGGCTGAATATTGTTTTCTGTTTTCTGCAGTATGTCATTTAAGCAGAACAAAACACAGTATATCATTTAACCCCATGTATATACACAAACACATATATCTACATATACATATATGCATTTACATCTATATCATATATCTATATATTTTCATGTATTTATATATACATATATGTATCTTCTACTGACTTGTGGTTTAATTAGTATTTCTCTAATGACTAATGGTATTGTGAATATTTTTGTGCAAATTGGCAAATTTTTCTTTTTATTTGGAAAAATGTCTATTCAAATCCTTTGTCCATTTTTAACTGGCAAACTCCTGTCTTATTAGTGACCTATAAAAGTTCTTTGTATATTTTGGTTTCCAGACCCTAATCCGATACATAATTTAAAATGTTACTTCTCATTAAGTAGTTCAACTTTTCATATTTACCATGATGTTGTTTGAACAAATTTTTGTTTTCAATTTGAAGTACAATTCCCTTTTTTTCTTCTTTATTGTGATTTTCTTATAATAATCTTTATTAAACCCAAGGTCACAAAAATTTACTCTGTCCAAAGAATTGTGGTACATAATCTACATTTAGGTACATAATCTATTTTAGTATTTTTGTGTAGATATGGATCAAATTAGGGGTACAACTTCCTCCTTTTGCATGTGAATACATAATTTCCCCCAACATCTTGTTGAAAAGCATATACTGAAATTTCTTGGCGTCTTTGACAAAATTAACTTTACCCCAGATTATTCTTTAATAAGGAAACTTCTTTTATGTTGGTCTACATAAATCTATCCTTATACTTGTACCATATTGTTTAGTTACTGTAACATTGTAGTAATAAACATTATCAGAAGTGTAATTTACTTTTATTTTTCTAAATTGTGTATATTTAATTTTCTTTGTATGTCCACATGGATTCTAGAGAGAGCTTGCCAAATTCTATTAAAGAAAAATTACTTGGGAATTTTCGTTGACTCTGTAGTTTAACTTGTGCATTTTCATTTTAATATTTAGTATTATCCTTTAATATTGGATGTTTCCTAATTTATTCAGTTCTATTTTGATATCTCAGTATTTTAAATGATTTTTAGTTGTAAACTACTTGAATTTATTTTGTTATTTTGTTATTTTAGTTGTAAACTACTTGAATTTATTTTGTTATTTTGTTATTTTGTTATTTATTATATTATTCCTAAATAATTCTTTTTTGTGATACTATTGCTAATGAATTTTTTCTTATTTTGTTGACTACTATTATATAAAAGTATTATTTAATTTAGTATGTTGAGGTTGTATCTGTGACATTAACTTGTTTATTAGCTCAAGTAATTTTTAGTAAATTCCTTACATATTTTGAACATTATGGCAATAAAAATCTATTTCAATTTTTTAATCCAGAAGATTTTATTTTTGTTTTTGTATACAATATTTTCTTTAATACATGCAGAACAATGTTGAACAGAGTGCTAAAGGTGGATATTCATACTTACAAATGGAGCTCCCAACATTTCACCATTGGTTATAACATGAGCTGTAGGTTTTAGACAGTCTTTCAACAGGTTTCAGATGTTCTTCTCTAGCAGTTCAGCAATGTGTTTTATCCTGAACAGCTGTTAGATTTCTCAAACATTTTCTATTCAAAATATCACCTTCTTTCTTTCATTCTAGAAATACTATGCCATTGTGAAAAAAAATTCTGATTGGTCATGGTATACATTAATTTTTATATGTTGCTTTTACATGTTGCTGGTTCAGTTTGCTAGTATTTCTAAGGATTCTATATTTATATAGAATATTGGTCTGTAGCCTTTCTTACTTGTGATTATTTGTCACATATATGAGGAGTAGAATCAAGAGAACAAAAAATCTGTTTTTCCTCACAGATATATTCAAAATATTAAAGGCAATATTCAAAGTTTGGTAAATATAAACTTCTAAAATTGAAAACCACATATGAATTACTAAATTTATACTTGTAATTTTTCACAAAGAGAAAAATAAAAGGAAATACTTAAAAGAGAAATAGCCTTGGCCTATAATCCTAGCACTCTGGGAGGCCAAGGCAGGTGGATTGCTTGAGCTCACGAGTTCGAGACCAGCCTGAGCAAGAACAAGGCCCCCGTCTCTAAGAATAGCCAGGAGTTGTGGCAGGAGTCTCCAGTCCCAACTCACTTAAGCTGAAGAGTTTGAGTTTTCTGTGAGCTATGATGCTATGGCACTCTACCAAGGGTCACAAAGTAAGACTCTGTTTCGGAAAAAAAAAAAAGAAAGAAATAGACTTGCTATACTATGTCAAACAGAATATAACATATGAGTGATAGACAAAAATAATTTACCATGATAAATGAAAAATTGTCACAATGTTACAAACCACAAAGAAAAATAAATATTAACAAAGCTGAAATTACTATTACAGCTAAAAATGTATTAGCTGAATTAATTTTAACAAAAAATAATTTTTAAAAAAATTGAGTAATTTTTTTTATTCATGAGAGCTTCTTAAGAGTGTACTTAAAGAAGAAAGAAGTGGTTTTGCATATAATGTTAAAAATGAAAGAGTCAGAAAATTGATTTGGGATTATCAACCTTTGGTAGACAATAAACTAGTGAATCCAAATACTCCTTTGCAGCACAAAATTCAAATGTATCTAAAAATAATAGAATTGTAATTCCACACAATGTATTATTCACACAACAAGTCCTTTGCTATTGGACTATTTTTTTAAATTTCAGAATATTAAGGGGGTACTAATATTTCAGGTTACATGGATCACTTTAGTAATACTTGAGTCTCAGCTAAAGGTATGCCTGTCACCCAAACTGTCCTCATTAGGTAGTATTTTCTCGTCCCCTCTTTCTACCACGTGGTTGATTTCCACTGAGTTTTTCTTCCCTCTCATGTGTGCTTGTCAGTTAGCTCCAATTTAATACTGAGTACTTGTGGTGTTTTTTTTTTTTCCATTCTCGAGATACTTCAATTAGCAAGATGGTCTCTAGTTTCATACAGATTGTTTCAAAAGGTATTAACTCATCTTTTCTTATGAGTAGTTTTTTGTGTTATTCATGTACCACATTTTCTTAATCTTTACTTGACTAATTTAATTAAGAACAGAAGAATTTTCAGATTTTTTTTTCCATTACACTCTGATTAACATGGATGGAATTTTGGTGGTATATTTTTTTAGGAAATAGATTATTCTTTTGTCAGAACTGATTTGTATCAAAGGACAGACAGTAGCGTAGAGATTGGCCACAATATTCTGGATATCTAGGATGATTGGGTTGTAAGCCCACAACATTGTTAAGGAGGATGAAATCATAATGTCCACCAAGTACATGAACACAAAACAACTCACCAGCAGCAGGATGGTCTGGGTGGCCCTTTTCTCTGCAAATGCTCTTAGGGAGAGGTTGGTGCTGTGAAGGTGCTGGGATCGCTTCTGATGCTTTAACAAGAGAATGACCATGTATGTACTTGAGAGCAGCATCATTCCCACAAAGAAGACACTCTGGGATAAGCTGAGAATAAAGACTAGTCCCCTGATGATGGAATTCATTGGAGAAAGTGAGCAGTATTTACCTACTTTGAGTAGATTGGTCTGTGTCATGTTGGACAAAGCTACTGTATGTAAGATTAGGATACTGCTAGAAGACAAATTGAGGGACCAATAAAAGAATAAAACATGGACAATGTAATTTGCAAATTTGTGTTTAAATCTTGCCAACCAGGAGGTACTGGGGCTGATGGTGATTGCCTGTAACATGCTCAGGAGGCAGGTGTTACAGATGGAGAGGCCCCTCATCACCCTAGTCAGGTAGAACAAAGCCTTACATTTAAAGTCATTCTGAAAATTCAGTGACTCAAACAGATCTGAGGACAAAAAGTGCACTGCACACAGAAGCATCACCAAGTGAATGAAGGCCAAGTGACAGGTGATCAGGTCAGTGGGCTTAAGCCAGCAATCCGTAAAAATTCTGAAAATGAGGAAGAAAAGGAGAAAAGTATTGGCTGAAACTCCAACTCCAGCTTGGAAAAAAAAGGCATTTTTCTCTGATAACATAAGTGGAAAGTGTGCTCTTCTTAATGGCAAAGAGAAAATATATTCTGTATGACTGAAAAAAGATAACAAAAGACCTCACATCATTAATGTTCATTCTTCAGTAATAAAAATCACAAATTATCTTCAAATATATTTTAACTTTTATTAATGATAAACTCTGTCTCATATAAATTCTATTTATCTAATACTGGTGTTATTTTCTACACCAAAATTTAAATATACATATACACACACACATCTATACAAACACATACACACTCTTGCCCTTATATGTAACAGGGCTTCCCTGTTCCCAGTCACAGTGTTGATTGCTGATTATACATGGGCTTCCCTGTTCCCAATCACATTATTGTCTTACATTCTCTCATTTTATATTTATTAAACACATTGATGCTATTGATCATATAAACTTAATTATGGGTCTCTCCCAGTTTAGTTACCATCTCAGAGATCCCTATGTAAACTCTCTATATCTCAGGTGAGGATTAATCCATCACTAAATTGTCTATAGGATAAACACTACTGGTAATCAGTTTATGACCAGAGAATTGCCTTAAAATAATTGTGTTGATTCTTTTCTTGAAATTATACTCAACGCAGCATCCCCTCTCATGCCTTGAAAAATACTTAGGTCTTCAACAATATAGTTTTTCTCAAGCTTAAATATGATATCTACAATATCAGAACATCTTGCATAATTTCACTGAATAATTTTGCTGTTACTGTCTCATGTTATTGGTCAGTACACAGACATCAGTCTTTTATCAATTTATTTTGATTCAGTTATTAGAAAAATTCAACTTGATATTACATGAAAATGGGGAAAATAATGTTTACTAAGATTCTTCCAAAATGGAAGTGTTTCCAATTATATTTTGAAATTCACTTGTCACTATACTATTGATAGTTATTGATAGCTGTAATATATTACATATACATATCGGCCCCGGACTGAGCTGTTGAGCCGGAAAAGGAGCTAATATCATTCAGCTGTGGGCTGCCCGCATAGCTACTGTGGGGGAGCTGCCCCTGCATGTTGCAGCACAGGGATTGGCTGGGAAACCTTGGGTGAGTAATCTAGTGACTGAGCTGCCAAAAGGCAGGGACTGAACCACTGGGGAAGTGCGGAGATCCAAGTGTTTGGCTGATTAACAGCCTTGGCCCTCAAGGGCACAGAGGCAGACTGGATTTGGCACACTAGATAAGCAGGCAGCCACGCCAGGTGAGATCCCAGGGATAATTGCTTTCTTTGGAAAGTATCTGCTTGGCCAAGGTTCATAGTTTGAGTGTCTTTTAAGTGGGCTGAAGAGACATTTGGGCTCCCAAGCCTGAGGAGTCTAAGAGATCAGCAGAGGCCTCCAGTCTCCATCTTCTACAGCTGTATTAACACTGTGATTAACACCTCATACCTCAGAAGATCACCTGTTTCCCAGACAATATTCAGCAAGCCATATATACTGTTTGGTATATTATATATATACATATATACATAATATATTACATAGAAACATACGTATATAGATATATACAGTTATTATGATAGTATTTCTGACCTATATTTAGAAATTAATAGATGAAGTAGAACATTGCTCTAAAATACCTTGAAATTCTTGAGTTTATAAAAGACACAATGTATAGTTGAAACGGTTATTAATCTAACTCCAAAAGCTTAAGTTAGTGAAGGGACACATTTATCCTGACTGCCGTATAGTTGCACTAACATGCAGCTTCATCATCAGCACAGGTGGGTTCTCTTTTCATGATGGAACCAGGAAAAACACCATGATATTATTGAATTTAAAGGCTTGATTATATTCATACTTTAAGGATGATAGCTGAAGTCCAGTAAAATGATATTTGGACTGATTAATAAAATATGTGCAATTATTTATTAACCATGTACCTATATATTTTATTAATAAAACACATAAGATACAAGAGATAAAATTAGATAAAATGACATAGGTAAGCATGTTAACATTTTCTTCTCATATCTCAAGATACATTCAGCTTACCCCCTGAATCTTTGTGCCTCTCTCTGAAAATGACCATCACACACTGAATAACTCTTGATGTGTAGAAACGTCAGGTGGAGTCTTTCTCCAACAAGGCTCTTGAGGTCACTGGTGCTGAGGCTAGACAAGAAGACACCATGGTTACCAGAAATGAGGACTGGCAGCTAAAGACTAATTGTTTCCTGAGTGCTGGGAGGCTGTGGCCCTGGCACATGGAGGGAGTCCACCAGCATGTATATGCCTCTCAAGATGCTGTTAGGCCTAGACTAAGGTGGAAAAATACCAGTTAACTCCTGGCAAATTTCTGGGCCACAAGCCCTCAACTAAATGGAGTAAGTCTAGTTCACTACCAAGATAGATGGGAAAGTAGTTTCTTGCTTGACTAATTCACTGCCTGGGAAATAGACCAGGAAGTACCAACTGTCTGCAGACTGACCTTTAAATAATATCAGGTGGGGAAAGTACTGAAACAAAGATGCATGGCTAACTAACCACAAAGTTCTGCTTCTGTATACTGCTTGCTTACCAACCTGGGTACAGCTGGGCAGCCTGCATGACAACCAGGATGCAGACCAGGCCTTAAAAACCCGACCCCTTAAGCAGGTGGAGCTGCTCTCCCAACCCCTGGGTTGGGTGTGAGGCAGCTGCCAGCTGGCTTTTAAATAAAGAACTCTTCTGTTAATTCCGCTACCGTGACGAGAATTCCCGGGCACAGCAATGCCCACCACCGACTTGGGAAGCGACCTCCTACAAGTCCTAATTTCAGCCTGAAGGTAACTGTGGCTTCCATCTGAAGACCTCAGATGGATACAAATAGTACCTGACTTTCTTCAATCATTTCACAAATTATGTTCAGGTCAGGATTAAGAAAAGAGTGGGGAGAGATGGGGATGAAGAGACTAACCAAACTTTTAATAAGTCCCTATTGCGTACAGAATAATAAACTTTGACATTTGAGATTTCACAATCTCAATGTAACTTCTAGTTATTATCTAGGAGAAGAGGGAGCAGAACATGATGGCAAAGGCACACAAGAGAGCCAACAGGAGAGAATGGGATTGATCCAAAACAAAACCAGCTGCAAGTGAGCCATTTCAAATTCCGGTGAGTGTGGGCACCTGGCTGGTGGCTTAGTGGAAAAAGCAAACGAAAAACCTGCTCTGACACCCCTCTCCTGGGTCCTGCCCTTACCATGCAGAAAGTGCTCAGTCTGCCGCAGCTCTTATTTCTTCTCCCTCAGCAGTTTGGCCACCGCCACCAACTCAAGCCTCCTGACCTTGGCCTGAGCTTCAGACCCTGCCTGGAACTGGATGAAGGTCCGCAGAGCTGTCCCGCCACTGTCAAACAGCTCCTCCAACAGCCGGCTACTGCAGTTTAGAGGCTGGCGGCGGGATCCGCAGCCGGGGTGGCCCAGAGGCCTGGGGAAGCGCCCCACAGCAGCCATCCGCATTGCTAGCTTGAGAGCGCGTAGTACCTTCGGGGCAGGACGTTCCAGACAGAGCTGGTCTCCTGGCACCAAACTGAGCCCAGAAATAGGGGCGAGAGCAGACCAGGCTCACCCGGCGCTGGCGCTGTGTTAAAGGGCTGCCCAGAAGCTTTGGTGGGAATTTATGGCTAAGAGGAAGGAAGCAGCAGGATTCTTGGCTGCTCAAACTTGTGCCCCAGCAGGAAACAGTGGGGGTGGGGCTGTCATCCTCCCCCCCTCCACCTCCAGGGAGACGTCAAGCTCCTCTTTTAAACACTTCAGCATACGTGACCTTGCCCTTATTGGGCTGAAAGGGGGAAAGGAACAAGTTGGCGCTCCTGACTGCGAGGATTTGTTTCCCAGGCACAGAATGAGGCTTTCAAGAACCAGTACGGTGGGAGAGGTCCACAGCCAGAAAAGTCATCTGTTCTTAGTGTCGGCCCGGCCATTAGAGCCAATGTCAGGAAGATGGCTCTTGAGTGTGTTTGTTCCTTTTCCTATTATCCTGTTCTTGTTTCTCTTTTCGACAGCGGGTCAGCTTCATTTCAACCCTGACGTGACAAGTGTATTCTAAGACAACCCAATAAATTTGCAAAATCTGTGTTCCTGCCCTGCATCCGCCACGTAATTGACTTGATCTGTATGTTTCTTCTCCCAGTTTTCGCTAGCTACTTTTTAAAGAGGTTGAGTGAATCTGTGTTAAATTACAGCACAACAAAACCTTCAGAGACACGCATCCAGTGGCCCAAGCCCTAGTCCCTTTGCAAAATAATTGCACATAGCAGATATGTGCTGGGAATACCGAACTTTACTGTGGTATAATGCTTTACCAATGGAGTTGATGGAGTTAACACAAGCAAGGCAGTCTTGGGACTGTAAGGGCTGAGCACTCAGTGTAAGAACTACTTATCGTCTGGTTTGGGCAGTATCTATTAAAGAGATGATCTGTTGAGAGAAATGACATATTGAAAGAGCTTCAGAATTACTTAAAAAAAATCAAATGATAAAACATGGGAGCTCTTAACCAGGCTAAAATAGCCTTCCACCATCCAATCAAAACTATGAGGTTATGTATAAAATTCTTAGAAAACGAGTTTGTGTTGCCTCTATTCATGACTTAGCATTACATACAAATGCAGAGTGATGACGGAAGAATAATTTACCAAATTACAGAAAGCAAAAATAATTTTGCTACTTAAAAGCTCCAACTAATTACCTCACATCATTTTACTTTTGTATTCAAGGTACACTACTTTATAAATTTGTTGTAAGATAGTGGTTGAAGTCCATTTTATTTTAATTCTGATCTGAGTATAAAATAGGACGGGTCAGGTCATTTATAACTATTAGAAACAACTATTTACCAATTCTAACCTTATCTTTGAATTTTTTAAAACAATAAAAATGGTCCAATAAAATAAACAATAAAAATGAATTCAACATGATAAATCTTTCAGCTGAATCCTCAAAACATACAGAACTTCAAGAATGTATTTTATAAGGCTGCATAATATTCCATGAAACCAATATATAATCACCCACACTTTCGTATGAAAGATATAACACAACTAAAGCCCAAGATGAAAGGGGGAAGAGGAAGAGGAAGGAAGGAGGGAAGATGGGTGGTGGGAGAGTAATGGCTGGGACCTCACCTATGGTGCATTTTATAAGAGTACATGCTAAATCTATTAAGTGTAGAGTATAAATGTCTTAACACAATAATTAAGAAAGTGAAGTGAAGACTATGTTAACCAGTTTGATGTAGGCATTCTGAATTGTATATACAACCAGCACATTATACCCCATACATTTGTTAATGTATGCAGCTATGATTTAAAAAAGAATATATTTTATTATTTATGAAATGTGAAAAATTATAATACCCTAGAGAACAATGTAAAAAATAATTGTTTCCTTTATTTCTTTTTTAGAAATTTATCTCAACCCTCAGAATGTACCAACTCTTAGTTAATAATATACACATGCACCCAATCTCCTTTGTTGTTTAATTAAATTTTAAAGTTCATTTTGTATCTTGTATTATTATTTGATGAGTATGGCAAATCCACTATGAAAGAATCACTGGAGTTCCAATAATATGGTTCCCACCTGTGAGAAATGATATAGAAGAAAAACCAGAGAGGTAACTGATAGGTGGATCAGAGTACCCAAAAGAACTGAGTTCTATCTTAAACATTAAAAACTTAAGAAATCAGAAAGCACATCTAAGCTCTCACTATGAAGAGTGACAAGCAGGGGTTGCTGATCCTGAAGGTGAAACCCCTGAGCACTCTCAGAAGACAGATTAAAAAGAAAAAGGAACAGATAATGCAAATCAATTCATTTTCTTTATTCTGCCTGTCACCTTGGACTATTTTGAATATTGTAAGCCCAATGTTCCTGCATAATCATGCATAATGGTGGGAGAAATATCAATATCAAAATAACCAGTGAAAATGATCATTTTCAAATCTGTCAGCTTAGACGAGACTTTTGAAGAAAAGAAAAGGAGTACAGTGAAATGAAAAAGCCATTTGAACAAACCCAGGGACTATTTTGCATGTAATTAATATGTTCTTTGGAGAAAATAATTTGGAAAAGCCTCTTTACTGGTCTTTTCCATAATATATGATTTTTAGGGTAGTGTTATTTTATTTCTGATGAATTATAGTTTCACTTTGTGAAGTATAATTTCACAGTGTGCTGATCCTAGCACTCACTTGACAATAAAATGTACATGATGAATATCTCCAATGTTTTATTAACCAAAAGTGTCATTTTTGTCATAAATTTTACTATATTATTAGCAGTATTATCATTATGATAGGTCATTAATGATATAAAATGATTTTGACAATTTCAGTGATAAGATGAGAGTGATTTGTTTGATATAGTGCCATCGGTGGCAACAAAAATAAATCACCTGGAGAATTTAGGAAAAAATCAAGAATAAATCAATGAAAGTATCATTATGAAAAGCACAGATGCCATGGAACTATGGTAGCATCCAATACCAGTGAGGGACTGCAGTGTATTTACCATTTTTGGTGATTTAACTGAGTGTAGGCAGCACGAAGCAGCTGACAAGACTATCCACAATCTCACACATATAATTATCAGGACTTCAGAGAAAAAGTATGAGTAGAAGTGTCACTACCAATGTTATAGACAAAAACAAGAAAAGAAGCAGGAGCTTAATTAAAAATTATATGGTGTAGATTTTGGAAAATTCTAAAATTGTTCTGTGAAAATGTGCTCTGTTGACCATCAGAACCAGGAGAACACTAGGAAGCGTAAATCTAAATTCTGAGGAGCTGGTGACAGGCATCCCAGTGAATCACTCTATTTGGAAGATGAGGGTCATAGCAACTGGGTCAAATAACAAAGTTTGAGGGAAATGGAGAAGGTGTCCTCTGTGTTCCAGGTGTCCCGATCAGGTTCAATGAATTACCTGACATTACCCTACTTGATTTATGAAATACATGATGTTACTATAATTTAGTACAAACTTAAAATTAAATAATGTTTAAAATATAAATAGAAGTTTTATTAATAAATATTTAAGGTGTTGATTTCATTGTGGATAGAAATGAGCAATCACTGTCCTCATTTTGTTTATAGCAATATAATGATTCCAACCTTGTATGTCTTCTATATTAAAGGTACATAGATACTAAAACCTCTATTATTACTAAATTCAGACAATGTTAACACAAATTTAGTTGTAATGATTCAACAACAAAATTAAAATTTCCTTGTAGTTTTTATAAATATATCTTTTTTTTCTTTCTTTCTTTCCTTTTTTTTTTTGAGACAGACTCTCACTTTGTTACCCTCAGCAAAATGCCATGTCGGCACAGCTCATGGCAACCTCAAACTCTTGGACTCAAGCGATTCTCTTGCTTCTACATCCCTAGTAGCTGGGACTATAGGCACCTGCCACAATGCCCATCTATTTTTAAAAATGTGGTCTCACTCTTGCTCAGGCTAGTTATAAATATATCTTTAAATTAAAAAATAAAATTTGGGATTTTTGGAGAAAAATTAAAGACACTAATCTTGGAGAATTTTTTCTTGGAGAATTTTTTAACTGTATGTACAGTTAAGAAATTCTCTATATTCTCTTGGTAATATAGAAATTCTACATGCACTAACATTAAAACCAGTGTTAGAAGTTTTAGTTTAAAAACCTAAAATGCTAAAACTGAATGTAGAATAAAATATTTAAATTAATGCTGAACATCTTAGCTCACATTCATCTAGCTAATTATTTTCTTTAAAAAGATTTAATAGAAATAAGAAAATAATATTTTCAAATATATCTGTGGTAAACACAAAAAATTCACTTTAATAACAATTACCAAAATGGAATAAACAAAGTAATCTGTATGGCCACCTATTAAAAATTATCATACAATATTACAAATATGCCATGTTTTGTGATACTATGAGTTTAAACAGTCTCTAAACTGTTGAAATATTTTAAAGTATCTTGCAAATTAAAAAAACAAAAATATGATTA